ATACAACTGGTTATTACAAAACATGATTTGTTCCTTTATTTTTTTAAATTTTCTTTTTTGACCTTATGTGAATTATTCACATTCCTCATGTTATGGAAATAAGTGTCATCAGTTTCTTTAAAGCCCTTCTTTTGCTTTATTTTTCTTTCTTCTGCATATCTAACCTTACTCCTATTTCTTTTCCCTTTAGGAAAGTGAAAACTCTAGTATACTTAAAATGTGTCTTTCTAATGAATCTCCAGTATGCTTATTTAGCTATATGTTCATTTATGGGAGAATTTTTATATAATTATATTACTTTTATTTATTATTTATTTAATTTATATAAATATCATAGGCTTATAAATCTGATGTAATTCATTATTTTCAATCAACTCTAATTTTTAAAAATCTATACATATTGCTATGTCTAAGTCAACTTCATTATTTTTTAACTGCTGTTTAATTTTTATTATGTGCATTATTCTTTTTTATGTATGGAGCTAACACCTACAGTGACCTATAATTAATTGCTACCAAAAATAATGCTACTGTCAAAATCCTTGTACATCTTTCTTTATGGACCTATTTTAAAAATGTATGTGCAGAAATTTTTTCCAGTTACGGCATACAATCATATTTAATTTCACTAGAAATAACCAAATTTTTCTCCAAAATATTTACTAAATCTCACTAGAAATTCCTTAAGTTTCTTTATTTTTCACATTCTGTACACTATTTGATGCTTTTTTTTATAAAACTCAATGGATGTAAAATAGTACCTCATGATTTTAATTTTATTTTCTTCTTATAACTGGACATTCTTTATATGCCGTTTATCCACTTGTTTTTATACTGTGAATTACATATTCACATCTTTTGCCTTTTTCTATTAATTCTTTGTTTTTCTTGCATATTTACAAAATTTCCTTGCATGTTTTAAATATTAGAGCCCTTGTTGGCTAGATACTGATAATATCTCTTCAAGTCTATGGTATATCTGTCCATTATTCCACAGAAATCTTCCAATTTGGTTAAGTCAAACTCTCTATTTTCCTTTTCTTTAAAAAATTTTTATTAAATGTATTGGGATGACATTGGTTAATAAAATTATATAGGTTTCAAGTATATAATTCTATAATACATCATCTGTATATTGCATTGTGTGTTCACACCCAAAGTCAAATCTGTTTTCGTCACCATGTATTTAACTCCATTTATCCTTTGCTACCTCCCTAACCCCCCTTTCTCTCTGGTAGCCACCATACTGTTACCTGTGTCTATAAAGTTTTTGGGGTTGTTTGTTTGTTAATCCTCACCCAAGGATATTTTTCCATTGATTTTTAGGAAGAGTGGAAGAGAGAGGGAAAGACAGAGAGAAACATCAAAGTTAGATAAACACATTGATTAGTTGCTTCCTGCAGGAGCCCCAAGCAGGGCCATGGCTGGGGAGGAACCTGCAACCAAGGTACATGCCCTTGACCAGAATCGAACCCGAGACTCTTTGGTCTGCAGGCCAACATTCTATCCACTGAGCCAAACCAGCTAGGGCTATGAGTTTTTGTTTGTCTGTTTGTCTTGTTGGTTTTTTTTTGTTGCTCTCAGTTTTATGTCTCACATATGAGTTCTTAGCTTTCTTCTATCTTATTTTGCTTAGTATGATATTCTCTAGATCCATCCATTTTGTCACAAATGGCAGTATTTCATCTCTTCTTATGGCTGAGTAATATTCCATAGTATAAATATGCCACATCTTCCTTACCCAATCCTTTTTCAAGAGATGTTTTGGCTATTCCCATCTCTTAGCCACTGAATAATGCTTCAATGAATACAGGGGTCTATATATCTTTATGAATAAATATTTTCAAATTTTTGAGTAAATACCCATAAGAGAGTGTGCTGGTCATATAGTAACTCTGTTTCTAATTTTTTGAGTAACCTTCATACTGTTTTCCATAGTGGCTGCACCAGTTTACATTCCCACCAGCAGTGGATGAGGGTTCCTTTTTCTCCACACCCTCTCCGACACTTATTACTTGCCATTCTGACAGGTGTGAGGTGGTATCTAATTGCAGTTTTGATTTTCTTTTCCCTACTAGCTAGTGAAGTTGAACATCTTTTAATATGTCTGTTGGTCATTTATATGTATATTTTTCTATTGGGGAATTCATGTAAGGAACACTCCACAATATCACAGAAGTGCTTTTGTTTTGGTTGTCATACTTTTTTAACTTAGTGTCTTATGTTTTATATTGCTGTATTTATATCTACTGTGGTTTAGATTGCCAAGAGTAAAGACTGATAATAAGTTAGTATACACTACTGTAGTCACAACAGCCATGAAAGAACTAATAATACTGCATGCTATTTTTATAAATATCCTCTACTTTGGGCCTCCAAGTGCTATCAATTCTACCTTGGACACTGTCATGGTGTCTCCTAGACCCCCTCCATGATCCATCAAGTAGTGGGGTAATACCTGCAGAGCAGGGTGCATCCTTTCCCAGGTCCAGTTCATGGACTGAATAGCATCTGTTTTGTTGGTAGAAGCGCTGTACCAGTTATGAAGTATTTTTGAATATCACTCCTGTTTATAGTGTTAAATATAGGTCTGATTTTATTTTTCTCCATATCTACCTATATAAAACTCTAATATGCAAATCGACAGAACAGCAGAACTGCAGAATGACCAGTCTCTATGATGTACACTGACCATCAGGGGGCAGATGCTTACTGCAGGAGCTGCCCCCAGCCCACAGGCCCCGACCGGCAGTGGCAGTGGGAGGCGAGACCGATGAGCAGGCGATGCCAGGCCAGCCAAGGCAGGTGTGAGCAGAGGCTCTCTAATCGCGCCCTCTCCCCCGCTCTCCGTTTCCCCTGCAAAGGAAGGCAACTGCTGGCAGCAGTGGCACGGGGAGGGGTCAGAGAGAGGGCAGTGCCAAGAGAGCCAAGATGGGTGTGAGTGGGGGCTCCTGATAGCCCCGCCGGTCATCCCACAGAGGGAAGTGACCAGCAGCAGCAGCCGGGTTGGGACTGACAAGTGGGCAACACCAGGCCAGCCAAGGAGGGTGTGAGCGGGCACCCCTGGTTACCCCACTGGTCGCCCCCCAGATTGGCCCTGATTGCCGGCCAGATCTAGGGACCCTACCCATGCCCAAATTTCATTCACCAGGCCTCTCATAGAGAAAATAACTGATCTTTTCCTCACTACTTTGAAATGCCAGCTTTATTATTTACCAAGTCCTTACATTTATATGGTTGTGTTTCTTTTCCATCATTGATGTTTTTTACTTTTCTTACAGCAATGCCACAACATTTTTATTATTAATCTTTTTAACATATACTATTATATGATAGGGTAAGTTCCCATTGGAATTCTGTCAGGAATTTTTAGGGGTTTCTGTATATTTTATTTTCTACACATTTTCTAATCAACACCACTCTGTCACATCCTATTGGTTACAAGTGAGTCACTAAAGAGAAGGGAGACTAGACTTGACTTCATGGAAGAAATGTCAAAAAATGAGTGTCTATCTTTAAAAATTCCATATGTAATGTTAATTTTTCTCCCTTGTGACTTTTTTGTTCATTACTAAAATTGTGACTATGATTTACCTTTGTTTTTCCATACTCTTTATATCTTGAGTGCCAAACCTGTAAGTCCAAGAGCTTACTATGTACTTCCACTTATATGTCTCCTGGGTAATCAAACTCAAAGTACCTAAAAATGTACTTCTGATCTTACCCCTGAGCCTCTACCTCTTCCTATAATGATGTTCCATATAGTTTCTCAGATCATAACCTCATGCATGAATATGCTCTCTCCCACACTCTTGCCATCTAATGTAATAACCCAGAAGACAAGGACCATGTCTGAATTATAATCCTAGTTGCTAGCTTACATTCAATCATTTGTACATTTATTTAACAAACATTTAGGGGTCTCTACCATACACCAAGCACTGTTCTGGCACTGAAGATGCAGCAGTGAATATAACAGAACAAAATTCCTGCCCTTATGCTGCTTACATTTTAGTGAATGGAGACCAACTGAACAAATAAATGAGTAAAATGTTATGGTCATTGACAGTGATAAATCCTATGCAGACCAGTGAAACACAGAAGGCATTAAGACATTATTTGTGTTTGGGGGAATATTGTTGAATACTATTTTAAATACTGTGGTCAAGAAGACCCATGGGCAAAGGAATAAACAGTAAAATGTCCCAAAGGCAGAAATATGGTTCACATTTTTTGCAAAATTGCTAGGTAGGCAGTTTACATGTAGTAAACTGAAGGAGGAAGTCAAATAGGTAAGTGAGTCCCACCTAGAGAAATAAATTCCTCTCCCTTCTGGGCTTCCAAACTGCCTTATTTATGTATTTTAATCTAACTCTTATTACATTGCAATATAATTGATTTTACATATGCTTGTCTTTTCCACCAGACTATGTGTTGTTTTTTATATAATGGGATCAATATTTATTTATTTAGATTCCCATTTTCTAGCACACTGCTGGACATAAAATAACTTTCAATAAATATTTTTAAATGTTCAAAGAAAAATGTGAAAGCATAATGGTTATTTTAAACATTTTAACAGTTGTTTTTTAATCTTATATTTACCCTTCCAAAGCCCATGTACTATCTTTAAGTACTGATACTTCCCACCAACTACACATCTTTAATTAGTATTGAATTTCCATCTCCACTGGATCTACTGGAGATTTCATCAGGATCAGGCAATTAGTTTCGATGCTTGACTCATCAAAATCCATAGCCCCTGGTCTGAGTAGCATGGTGAGCAATTACACAACTATATCCTTAGTTTCTGCCAGGATACCATAAAATAATGATAAATAAGATGTAATCCTGCATATGAGGGAAACAATACAGTTCGTATCATTAGGCGTGTCCAGAGAGATTAGGATTTGCCTTTCTTTCAATCCCTGCCTTCCGATGGTGATTGTGAGTATTCTTTATTGCAAAAAGCAAAGCAAGAACACAATTACTCTCTTCTGTCACCAACTTCTCCTTAATAATTTCCAAATCCCCTGTTTAATCTCCTGGGTGCGTACGCCATAGACAATGGGGTTGAGAGCTGCAGGAATTACGTGGTGTAGGATATTAAGTAAGACAGGGATATCAGGGGAAACCTTTTTCTTGGCCATGTGGGTAATAGGGATTGGTGCAGTGAGAAATGTATTTCGGATCAAGATGAAGACAATGGCTTTTGCCACAAATTGGTCAGTGATTATGGATGGGTAGTGCAGAGGCTTACAGATGGCCACATAGCGGTCATGGGCCATGGCTAGGAATGTGCAGGATTCCATTGGCAGGAAGTTGTTCATAATGAACATCTGAAGGAAGCAGGCAGAGAAGCTGATGGACCTGAGGTCAAACCAAAAGATGGCCAGGACCTTGGGAATAACAGTAAGACAGAGCACCATGTCCAGCAGAGAGAGGAGGCTGAGCAGGTAGTACATGGGCTCATGGAGAGACTTCTCCAGCCAGATGGTGATCAGGAGGGTGGCGTTGGCCCCCATGGCCAAAAGGAAGAGGAAGCTGAGAGGCAGGGACAACCAGAGTTGCCACTTGGGGGATCTGACAAAACAATTCAGGAGGAATTCAGAGACTTCAGCAGAGAAGGAGCTGTTACTATCAGGCAGCATTGGCAATGACTTTGATGAGGTAGATGTCTTTGAGTAGCTGAAGAAGAAAAAAGGAGTTAATTCTATCATAGACTCTGATAACTACATACTTAGCTTACAAGATCCATGAAGATAAGGACACAGCCCACCTCATCTATCCCACAACCCTTGTGCCTAGCACACTTTTTAACACATAAGAGGTGGTTAAAAAATATTTGTTGAATATGTAAAATAATGTTTCCCTGTTGTTCTTTCATCTGTGTTTCATTTTATATCTTCTCCTGTGTGAACTGGAGAAATCTTTTTAGTGTTTTCTTGGTTAATACTCAATGAATAAAAAATCATTTGAGCATCAAATGTTATTTTAATGAAACATATCAAATCAAAGAGAATATTTTAGTTTAAATTTTTAAAATGTATAAGTATACATTTTAAAGGCTATAGTATCCACAATTAAGTTTTTAAGGAAGTAAAAGATAAAAGCACTTTAGAGGCACGATGGTCTGGGTACATAGAGTAAATCTCCTTATGAAAATGAACAACAATCATATCTACGGTTAGTCTATGTCTCTATATATGCCAGTATCCTTTTCCATAGCTATAGCTATACCTATATGTATATTTGAATACCTTTAATGTATCCATAGCAGGCAAAAAGAAAGAATTATCAGGCTACAGACTGAGTGACATCCAGACATGAAAATCAAACACTGATGTGGGCTTTCAACCAGAGGGCATTTGTGGCATTATATGAACTAAAGCACTAGTTTTCATTACCTAATAGAGCTCAGGGACAGAAGTAAAATCCAGGCTGAAGCAGGTGACAAACCTATTAGGTGATATCCCACATGCTAGGCCTTTATAGCACTATATCCTGAATAAAGGGGCTAGAAATAAACTCACTTTTTCATCCCCATTCCTCATCCCCACCTGAATTCAAAGAAAACTCAGAAAAATTCCTCAGACTCATTGTAAACTGGTAGAAGTTTCTCTGTAAAACCTGAACTGCAGGCTGGTCCTCATGTGACTTTGCAGCCTGAGTTCACATCAACTGTTGGGCTCAAAGAGGAATTCAAAGTTATCCTAAATTGTAGTGGCCCCAGAAAATATAAGATGAAACACCGATGAGAGAAGTAAGCCCAAATCCTTTTTTGAGGAACCAGCTTTTATCTCAGGCCTCAGAGAACTTCAACACAGATCCTTCTGAAGAGTGAGTTGCTTGCAGTAAAAAAAATAAAATAAAATAATTAAGAAAAATATCATGAGTAAAAAGCCCACAAAAACAATAGAGGATAGAATAACTTACATATGGTCAGAGTTCCAGATTGAGGGGGAGAGAGAATGGATAGAGACTTACGAATTTTTCAGCAGAGGTGAAATACATCAATAACTAAATTCAAGAATTCAAGTGAATCTCAGTGAGATAAATAAAAATAATTTCACACCTAGATATATCTAAGTGTGTAAGCCTTGATTTCATCTTCTAACTTCAAATACCAACGGCAAAGAAAAGACCTTAAAGATTAATGTGACTATAACAATCAGAAGAATCAGCGTGTGCCAGGACACTGATACTAGAGTTGCACACTAGTCTTAGGATTCTTGACCTCTTTTTTGAAAGGTACCTTTACTCTCACAGTACCTCCTCATGCTTCTCCTTCTAACCCGCTGTATTTATATTATTTTTTCCTCTTTTCCCCAATTGTTAGATTTCTTTGTGCAGCTTAAATGGTGTCACTGTCCACTTCATTGTCTCCGATAGCCTGTAGACAGCCTTCCTGGGGCAAAATTATTATCTCTAATGGGTTATTTCACAAACAAACCACAGTGATCCAACCTGTAAGATTGTTGTTTTTTGATTTGCATCTCTCGGATGATTAGTGACTTTGAGCATGTTTTCATATGTCTCTTGGCTTTCTGAATGTCCTCTTTTGAAAAGAGTCTATTTAGGTCCTCTGCATATTTTTAAATTGGATTGTTTATCTTACTTTTGCTAAGTTGTATGAGTTCCCTATAAATGT